ACTGAGTCATCGATGGCTTGTGAGTAGGCTCTCCTCATTAGAACTTCGGCGGGAAAGTACGAGGCCTTGAGTGACGTAAGCTCGTGAAAGGTCAGCAGATGGTCTAGCAATGATAATTATTAGTACCATACCCCTGGCAAACCTCTACCCGACTCGTCTCAAATCTTCCCGCGAGCGAAGAAATGCGTGACCTGCAGCGCTGGTAATGAGGGCGTGCTCCAAAGTTAGTTTATGGAACCTCTATCGTTTGAGTTCTAGGTATCATATCAGCAAAAGACAACAAAGGTGAAAATGAATTATTAAAATGTTACAGTTTCTCTCATATCTTCGCAGCGACGAATTCCCCGACAATCAGACTAGGAAAAGTAACTAGCAATCCGCAGAGAAAAGTTGCAGCGAATGGAAGGAACATTTAGTAAAATCTTCCCTCCCGCGACCGACTTTTTCACCGAAATGAGTCGTAGAAATTCAAATTGGTTGGAATTTATGCATGCATAGCAACAAAATTTGGAAGTAGTTCTCTCGAAGTAGGTTAGTGACCCGTGGCATCGTGTGCTCCTCGATACATAATATAGGGTGCTAGAGCCACAGAAACGTCTATCTCTCGTGTGACTGGGGCTTGGAGACGACTGTCATTTCAGACTAGTGTCTAGGCCTTTATTCTTCGATGTTTAAGCTGAATCTTCTTCCATTCGCGGAATAAATCTTGTCATCTTTTTGTCGACAGACTGCTGATTCGCTGGAAAGCACGGAATCCTTAAAATACACCCCGCTACCGAGCAATTCAATCACTGCAGGAGATCATAAAGGCACATTTGGACGTTGTCGATACGTCTACTACGGAAAACAATCGGAAGGCAACAGATTTATAAGAAACAACGAGCTTTAAGAAATGGTAAAATTTATTATTGAATTTGTTAAGTTTTTGTATATATGACACCTAGTCATGAATTATGGGACGAAAAAATTTTCACGAACAAATTGAGCTTGCGAGAGATGTGCCGGCGAGCGGGCCCGGTTGGCCGCCAGCGTTTCTTCGCCAGAGGGAAATTACGAGGCCTTGAGCCACGCGAAGCGGTTTACTTCTCCCTGACTTGTCTCAAATCTTCCCGCAGGTGGAGATACGCGCATCCTGTAGCGCTGAACATGACGGCTTGCTCGAAGCCTAGCGAGAGATTTACCTCGTGATCAATCTCGAGTGCGTTCAATCTCTTATTAGGCTTTCGGGCAAAAAAATACCACTGGAACGAGTACAAAGAATCCGGCCCCTTTTTAGCGAAGCAGACCTACTGGTTTCCAAAGCAAATTTGAACTTCAATCATAATAGCACTTCTTTTTTTAAAAAAATATTTTATTGAACAAAATTAATAGGGAAGGAAGCAGTGTCTTATTATGTTTGAAGGAAGTTCGCAAGCCAGACGCTGGCGTCTTATGACTTACCATTTTTTATCAGTGATGTTTGCTTTATAATTTGTTTTAGATATTGTTGTACGCACTCAAATGTACTGGTGATGTAGAGTTTTACCGTTTTGCAGTTTTTTAAATACATTAAGGAAGTTAGTAGAGTTTTATTGTTAGAGCGCTTTTCCGTTTGCGTCGTTAAACCAAAACTTAAGTTACCACATCGGCCAATCAGAGGAGAGTAAAATACCTTTAAGAGCCAATGAGAACTCAAAATCAAACTAAACAAACTGCTTAAAGCGCGGGAAAACGCGAGCGACCAAGTCGTGATTGGTTTCAGTTTTGCATCTGACTGGTCATGAGGGTGGTGCGAGTTTTCTGGACCAATCAGGGTGAAGAAAAGCAAAACCAAAGTAATCCCAGATTACTTTCGACAGTCAATTGAAAATCGCTCTATTTATTTACAGGTGTTTTTGTCTAAAGTAACCTTTTGTGAAACACTTTAGAATATATGTCAAAACGACATTTTATTCTGAAATTCTAACAATAAACCCGTATTATTTTGCTCAACTTTCCTTCGTAATCGGAAAGGTTTTTTTTCTTATTATTATTTTAAGGGAAAGAAAGAATTATTTAATGTACAAGTCGAACTTCTGTTTTAGTCTGAAAAGTGTATGAAGAATGCCTTAACGTCGAAAACTGAAGTTCCCTTTTTTCGATTGTCATGACTATTTTTTTAGAGCGATTTTAACTTTTTATCTATAGTAAGCTTAACTAAATGCGATGACGTCGAGAAAGACTTTGGAAATCCTGATTAGGATAGATACAATAAATACACAAAAAAAATGTAATAAAAACTATTGCGTGGTAATGATACTGTTTACGATGCAAGTTACTTCAATTTTTAAACTGACTAAGAGTCTGATAATTCATTCAGACAAAAAAACTTCGTCTTTGAAAAGTTCAGTTTTCTCGTATAAGTCCTCTTGTTCAAAATCTGGAATATTAACATTTGCAACCCGCGTCGAGTGTTGTTGAAACACCGCGCTCTCCTTTTAATATTGAGTTTTATTTCAGGCGGTCCGGTTTTCCTGTCGCCAACCCTAGTGAGGGGGAAGGGGAAATGTTTTAACAATCTTGACAGGGATTATACATACTATGTTAGCTTCAATTAAGTTGATACAGAAAATGTGTTCAGGAAAATCTCTGGTCCGATATATTGCGCCAAATAAATTAGAAACCGAGCTTGCACAAAAGGAACACGATGATAATTTTTCGCTCCGCGCCGATAAAGGATAAACATTTTTGCTTTAATACATACTCCTACCGCGATTATCAGCGACAGAGAAGGCTTGACTGCATCAATGATCCTTTAGCATGCACGCAATATGGAACTGTCTTATCCCCACCAAAGTGACGTGAGCGTTTTCAAAGAAAAGTTATATATGAAAAAAAATTAGTCTCCTTTAAGATCTTTTGTGGGAAGGTCTCTTTTAAAGGGCTATGTGGAAGCCAGCGGAAAGGCTACATTCTCGTTTACAATCGGTGTGACTGTAGCGCATTACCGTAGTAATAAAGATGCTTTTTTCAACACTCGGATGATCACGCGTAAACATACACAAACCTTGTAATTATATACTGTAACCAACTGACAAGGCCACACATGCCTCTTTCCTATGACTAGTACACTTGATGGTGTGTAGTGTGTATATATCACTAATTTAACATACTGAAGCCACTGTATAATAAAAAATGTACGTTGCTATGGTAGACATGGCTAAAACGTGGCACTCCTCTTGCTGAAGAATAACATGGAAGCTAGGCATGTGAGGTTGGGGGAACCAGCCTTATGACTTTTGCTCTACGAAGTCCTGTAACCAATTAATCAAAACTATGACAACATTTGAGAAAGAAACCAGACATCGGTTGTACGTTTTCATAAATAACAACAGGTAACACGGCGAAATGCGAGACAACAGCGCGCGCACATGACGCGTTCTGTCCACTTGAACAAACATGACGAGTTAACTGTCCCTTTAACTGTCCTATTACACTGTCCAATTACAAACGTGACGCGTACACTGTCCCATTAGTGTTCAAAGCGGACAGGTGATGACCAATCACATTCGAGAATTTTGTGATAGTTTTGATCACATCAAATATATTTAGCCATATACAACTGTCTTTAACCCTTTTACTTCCACGATCTAGATTTTTCATATCGTTTTAGTTAATTTGGTGGTCTGTTGAATAATATCCCACCAGTTGACACCTTTGATAATTCTTTCACCTCTCGTGATCTTGCTCCTTGAGATGATGTGAAGAGAAATTCATTATTGGTCACTCCTGGAAACGATAGGGTTAAAATCATCAAATTCTTAAAAATAATAGTCCTTTGGCTCAGGAGCTGATCCCAAAAATGTCGAACAGGATGGAAGCAGTCAAAGAGGAAGGAGAATGGGCAAGCCGAATGAGGAATTTTAACAAAAAATAACACAAAAACAATGCGTGAAGGCCTGTCATCCATGTATTTATATCACTGTCACGAAATATCAAATGAAGTATGAAAAATTATGCCGATTTGTTGATTTTGTTAGTCGGAACATCTTGGTACTCGAACATAAGCTTCATCAAAAATTTTATTTTTCATGAGCGTTTGATTAAGGAAAATCTAGGCTTCTGGTGCAGTGAAGTGACTTACCTTTGAGCAGAAGGGTACTTAGACTGCTCAGATGGCCTGTAATTTCGGTGAAGGCGTGACACGATTTCCGCTTACAACTGAGATGGAGTAACAAAACAGGAGAAACAAAGGATAGTTGACTTGATGACAGCTTGCTTTGAAAAACCTTTCCGGACCATCCTTGATCAAACTTTCAAATTAAGAAGAAAAGAAGGCAAAATTGATGACAACTTCCTCTGAAATTTTCGGTGTGACCACTATTGATGAAACTTTCAACGGATGCCCTGTTGATGACGCTAAATATTGCGGTGATGTAATAAAGTCATATGGTTACCACTCCCTGTCGCGAGCTCTCGATAGGGCCAGAATAACGATTAATCCCTAGCGGGTCGTAAGATGACTGACGCGGAGCACATCCGTGAAGTGTGTGGTGCGTGATTCACGTGGATCGCGTGACTTTCTCCTGACAGGAACAATACAAAATATAATGGGTTTTTTCAAAGATTGCCGAGAAGGGACAGATTTGGTACCGAGTTACATGCAAAACATCACAAGTTGAATGGAGGCCGCACGTTTATCAAGACAAGTCTACCTAGGAACTAATCTCTAAAAAAAATCCCTTTTTTTCGGACAAAGCAATGGAAAATTCAGACGCAGGTTTTATAATTAGTGATACCCAGGTAAGGAGAAATGTTTGTTCTCGGCTTTTGATGTTTTAATCGAGTGTGTTCAATTTGCTGTTCCGAATCATCCTTCTGTCATATGATCTTTAACATTGTTTTGAACTTGAATTGGCCCTATTTCATATTTTAATTTTCAAAGTTGAATTCGATTCAATATGAGCAGTCTTTGTCTAACATCTTCGAATAATCTAAATGGTTCAAATTTGATTTCAATGGAACAGTCTGAAAACCTTTTTTTTTTGTACTGTGTTTGATTTCAACTACTTTGGGACTCGCAAACGATAGGAGGCGACAGTCACTCAGAGTCTCAAATCGTCACAGTTTTAATCTCTAGGACTGGGACCGACAACAATTTTCATACACGGGTTTAACGCTTATAGAATCATTAGGCTGCATATTTTTCAAGAAATTTTTTGTACAATGGCGGAACCAGGAATTTCTTGATGGGAAGGGGGGAA